AACAACACACACCTGAATTCTTGGAGAACACTTCTTAATCCATCTTTGAATACATGAAAGTTTTTTTTATTGTCTTTGGTCTATAACTTGCCCTAAAGCGATTTTTTCTGTGCATCTGATAGTCGCCTTAGCTAGTAGTTTTGCTTCAAATTCCTTTGTCTTTCACGCTCATTTTCTATTTGTTCATCCGTGAAGTTTTATCTCAAATTCCTTTGTCTTTAACGTTCATTTTCTCTTTGTTCATCCGTCAAGTTTTGCCTCATATTCCTTTTTCTTTCACGATCATGTTCTCCTTGTTCATAATCGAAGTCCCGCCTGGATTTGCGTTTTCTCTCTCTCTGCTTGCCGCTTTTCTTTGGTGAGATTCCTTCGTTTTTGCCTTTCTTTTTCACACCTCCAGAGTTTTTCCTCTTCCGAAAAAACTCTTTTACTTCTGGCCTTTCTTTTGGCTTCATTCTCCTCTGAGCTTTCTTTCGACATGTCGATTTCGGAAAGAGGTTCCATCGTAAATAGAGTAAATATAAATATAGATATAAACTTGACTAAAAAATTGTGTTGTTATCTTTCGGTATTTCTATACGTAACGCGTCGACATTCCCGCCAAAAAAAAAAAGATAATCTAATCAGCCAATCGGGATTCTTGCATACACGGACGGACGTACGGACGGAAGTGACGTCAGCCAAGCCATGAAAAATCAACTCAATGGTTTACCATTTTTTCTTAAGTATGGTGCTCCGCTATTACCTCAATGGATGAGTCTACAAATCCTTTCCAATCATGGCAATTGAAAAATCCGAATACCAAGAGCTTATTATTTACTAAACAAGAGCAAAATTGATAAAGCTCAAATACCGATAATGAGAGTATGAAAGTTTCCATTTTCATTTACTCGCGATGAATTGAGAAATAACTCGGTTCAAGAAACTTAGCTACAAGTTAAACGTTTTAGTTTAATCATCTTTCAAAAATATTTTGGTGTTTTAATAATACATGCAGGAGGAGAGCAAAAAATAGTATACTCAAAATAAGTAATCTACAGGGCCCGGTTGTACGAAGCCTGGATAGCGCTATCCGGCGGATAAATCTTATCCAGTGGATAAATGTATTGGATAACAGCATCGACTTATCCACTGGATAATGATTTATCCACCGGATAGCGCTATCCAGCCCTCGTACGACCAGGCTCAGATGTATAATAAAATAATGATAATACGAATAATATATGAATTGCGATTACCCCCAAAAAAATGTTTGGTAAAAAAATAATTTAAAGTCAGCATTTCTGGATGATCATTGTAAGTACATATACGAGCCGAATAGTTGAGACTGCGTTGAATACAACCAGCTCAAATTACGTCAACGAACTACTAGCGTTCGAATCGTCAGTCATAATCATCAACCTCCGTTTTACACGAATGGCGCTTATGTTTTCTTCTTATTTATGTCTTTTTTTTTTTTTTACTGAGAAACTTAAGGTTAAAACCAAATAAAACAATCCTCTGCAGCTGATCTTATACACGAATAATATATATATATTTATAATATAACTAGATTATTACGCGCGCTCTGATTGGCCAAAAACCAATGAACTATTTCCCCATGGGCTGCACGCTCTCGCACGCTGATTTCAACGGACGCTCGCCTTTTTTCTCTAAATTTTCAAACCCGATGGCGTCAATAGCGCGCGCACGAGCGAGATGGGTGATATAACGCACGCTTTGATTGGCTGAAATGCCTATGAACTATTTGCCCTTGGGTCGCACGGTAGATTTTTGGTCATATTATAAATCAGTTAGACGACAAAAAAGCGCTCGCCCATGGCGATATAGACGCACGAGAGAAAATATAAAGAACTCTCAACAAGCTAGAGTGTCACTCGGCTTCGCCTCGTGCCACTCTTTCGCTTGTTAATCGTTCTTTATATTTTCTCTCGTGCGTCTATATCGCCATGGGCGCGCGCTTTTATGTCGTCTAACTGATAATTAGCCACTGCCTAAAAGCGGAGCTCCCGATACGGAAGTCGCAGAGAGAACAATTTGAATGAAACTGAAAGGTAAAAATAAGATCGGGGAAAAAAGTCCTCAATTATTTTTTATTCGAGATGAAGATGATTTCTCCCATTTTTTACCTTTGTCTTTAACTGTTTTAAAGTTTTAAAAGTTTAACTGAATGTAAACTTTCTTTTACGAAAACTTTTATCGTTCGTGATTTCCGTATCTTTCTCACACATGAAAACAGATGAAAACTGGTAAAATCGAATCTCAAAATCTAGTAAGCTTAAGTTTTCAAGTTTCTTTCTTATTAGGGTAAGAAAGCTATTTTTTAACTGATGACACATTTGGTTTAAACGTTCAGGGCCTTCATTTCTCAAGTTTCAAGTTAATGATCTCCAGCCAATTTTCTCTCTTATGCTACCAAAGCATTAATTTTATTTTCATTGCGGTAAAAATACATCTTCATATAAAAACATAAAAATTCCTATGGAAAACCAAACATCGTTATGTAAAAGACGCAAGTAAGCTCAATTTTTTGCCCACCTTTGTTGACCAGTTTTCAAGTCTGTTTTATAGTCTAGATTTGTCCCATGTAAATCTCCAAAATTTCTATTTCAATGAAAGACTTCCAAGGTAAATTTCACTAAACTTTATATATTACCTGTAGTTATATTTCGTTTTTTCTTTTTAGCAAAATTAACCAGGAATTCAAAGCTTAATAAAAAAATGTCGGCCATGGAAAACTTTGTCGAAGAATCTTCCAAGAAAAAAACTAGCCCCTAGGAGGGCTGGTGGCGAGTTGTGTACAAAATTCCTCAAGTATACAAAGGTTTTCAGTGCATGTTTTTTATTATGGGAGACATCTTAATATTGATTTTTCCGATTCTAATTTTATCTTCCACATTCATTCAAATTGTTCTCCCTGTGACTTGCGTATCGGGAGCTCCGCTTTTAGGCAGTGCCTAAATATATATATATTACATTTCTTATTTTGTATTATATTATTAATTCGGAGGATCGACCAAGCTGGAAAAAAGATTAGCTTTACCTGTTACATCCTCAGTAAATAAAGTGTTATTATTATTATCATCATCATCATCATCATCATCATCATCAT